TTGGTGGTTTGTTTTTTTTTTTTTTTTTTTGTGGGGGGGGTTAAGAACCTCTTAGGTTCGAATATAAGTATTATTTGTATGAATGGTAATATCACTGGCAGTCCATGGTGTGGTTTTTGTAGCTTTTTCTTAATTATCTAAATTAATGGAGGGCGGTGCTTGTTGCTAAGAAGTGAGTTTGTAACGGTTTAAACCCCCACTTGGCTTTGGCTGCCATTTGATAACAACCTGTCCGTGTTTATGTGTTTCATGTGCAGGGATCTGTGCGTCTGTGAGGAAAGCGAGGTGTGCCTGGGAGCCTTCCTCGCGTCATCCCAGAGATGCAGGCTCTGTGCATCTTCTCGGGGGGTGGTGTGGTGTGAAATTGCCTTTTTAGTGGGGGTGAGAGGTAGGAGGAGAGGGAAAGGAAGGGAAGCAGCTGTTGGAGAACTGTAGAGTACCTAGGCTAGGATGCAGCTCACTGGAAGGGATGCATGGGGAAACATGATTCCAAGAAGCATTTATTTAGAAGGCATTTATTTATTCTGAGAAGCATCTCTTCATTACCAGTTCTGCAGAAGTGAAATGCTCCCTCTGTGTTGTGGGGATTCAGGCGCTGGCTGAGATGAACCGGTGGAGAGAAGTTCTGTCTTGGGTTCTACAGTATTACCATGTCCCTGAGCATCTGCCTCCAAAAGTTCTGGAGCTGTGGTGAGTTTCTGTCTGTAGTTGTCAGGGCTTGCATTAGTCAAGTTTAATAGCAGGTTAGATGTGAGTATTGTGTGATATTTTCACTTTGCGTGGTGTAAGCGAGAATGAAAGTGGAACCTGGGACAGGCCTGTTCTTGACCTGTGTACGCTGGAGCATGCCTGCAGCTGGCAGATTGCTTTACAGTGATAAAGTACAAAAGGGGTGATGCGTAGAAAGTAACATCAGTGGCTGCACCTGTTGTCCGCCTCAGAAATCTCTCTGTGATTCAAGTGTAGACCCTGATGCATGCCTTTATGATCGCTGCTCGTGCGTAGTAACTGCCAGTGATTTCAACTTATACAAAGAGTTAATATTTTCTAATATTTCTTTCTTTCTGTTTCAGTATCCTGTTGTACAGCAAAGTGAGAGAGCCTCAGGTGATGCTGGAGGTTGGCAGTAGCTGGCTGAGAGACCAAACCAATAAGAGCCTCCCCGAGTACAGTTCATTGCTGGAGCTCTATCTGTTGCATGTGTTGCTTCCGCTTGGCCGCTTTGAGGGGGCAGAAGAGCTTGTACGTGGCTGTGATGTTTTTGACAGCGAGCAGCAGCTAGCATTTCTCGGGACCATTTGTGAAAGCCGATGTCAGTGGGCTCAACAGGAAGAGATGCACTCAGCTGCTGAAGAGCAGCAAGACGCAGCAACAGAGACTGTTTTGGGTAGGCTTTCCCTCTGTTGTTTGTACTCCTTTTTTTATAATTTTATTTCAAGTTAGTTGGTCCCTTACTAACAAGGAAGTATTAACTATATATTAAGAATGTTGTCATGACAAACCAGCCAAGAGGAAGTCCTGTTGTGTATTACAGAAGGAGATGGAAGACTTAGTCATCCATTTGCTGACAATTACAAAGCATATTTAGTCTCTGCTGATGTCAAGAGATGAGAATTATTTTTCAGGTTAAAAAGCACTTCAGAATAGATGTATTTTTTTTTTTAAAGGTATAAAAGGGAAACTAAAACTATCTGGCAATCCTTTAAGGATACATTTTGTTGGCTCTGTGTACTCTCTGCTTCATCTCCATTTACAGCTGAGCCCATGTAGAACAATGCATGTCTGGCATTTAAAGTACTGCTCCTCCTGCAGAACTGTTACCTCTTGATAACTTAGTTTATTATCTATATCTTACTTTTTTTACTTTACTTTACTTTGCCCTGACAGCTTTACTGTTCTTGTATTCTAGGTAATCTGTCCCAAAAGCTCTTGACCATGTTGACATTGCTACGTAGAGCACTGAGGTCCATGTCAAGCCACTTCTATTTACTTCCTTACAAAAAGATGCTCTTGGCTACTTTTCTGCTGTACCTGGTGGTGGTGAGATTAGACCCAGGTACAGTATTAAGATTTACAATTTTTAAAATTCCATTATGGTTACAGAGAACAAAATTATTGCTTTTAATAGATTTGGTCTGTGTAAATGTCTTGTCTTCGGGACACGCAAAAATTGGGTAACTAGGAACTTACTATTAGGCTTGTTTCTAATGTTTCCAGTTGCAATTCCTGTAGAAAAATGTAGCTCTACAAAAGACAGTTTTCTGAAAACAGTTATTCGATCCCCAGCTCTTTCCAACAGACAAAGTACAGTGTGTGAGAGGCAGGCTGAGCTGTCCTAGATTCAGCCTCTGGCTCAGTCAACTTGAGGTGCTACAAGGTGAATATTTCCTGGGAGAGTGATTGCCTGACAGGCCGTCCTGCCAGGAAAGCGGAGAGTTGCCCGAGGCAGCGATGTAGTCATCCATCTGATCTGCTTATGCTGGAGTTTCCCTAGTGATGGGCTGGTCCTGTGACGTAGAGGTGGCAGCTGGGGCGTGGAGGGGATGGGTGTTTCCCCTTCTGCTGGGTGACAGGTGCTCCATAGCTATTCTGCAAATAGTCCATTGCTAAATACTGAAGGTGGCTTGCTAGGGATAGGAACGGTGCCATGAGTGAAGTACTGAACCAAACAAAGAAGAAAGACAACTAGGTTTCGATTAACTCGAGTTGGGATTAGTTCTTTCTTAATATGTTTAGTGTATTTTAGTTGTACCTTTTATAATGAAAGGCTCTTTTGCTTTTTGTTTTCTTCTGCAGCTTCTCCCACATCACTG